AACTTCTGTTACTTAGTGTCCTAACGGTGGTCTAGGGTGTGAATCCAAATTTAAAATCCTCAGAATAGTATAAATGGTCCAAAAAGGGCCACAATCTTTGAAAAAAGTCGAAAAATCGTTATATCTTCTCATGGTATAAGGGAGATAACACACTGGTATCAGACTAACATTTATTTGCTAAATATCGTTAAATATCTTCTAATTTTCCTTTCTTTTAAAAACTGACCAATGGATCTTTCTGAAACTTCTGGTACATGAAGCTAAGTTCCCATACAACGTGTTTAATCTATCCCGACAATGATCCGTAAACCGGAAGTAGTCGAAAAAATATTCGATATTTAAAAAAAAACAACAGTAAAAATCGGTGCTCTTGCAAAAATCGTGATTTCACCGTCGGGTGTGACCGCATCAAAACATCTAAAGTATCTTTTGGTAACACGTTGAGTGGGCTATTGTATGATGCACTTCCTGTCTGATTCTTGAAAGCCGGTTCAGTGCTGCTTGCAGGTCTAGTTATTATTATTATTATTATTATTATTATTAATTACCGCGGGAGCCTATTTCTCCATGATCGAAAATAGATATCGATCTGGGGTTCAGTTTTCTATAGGGAAACCATGCGGTGGCTACTTGATAAAGTATTTTTGAAACTTCTGCGCAGACCGGAAATTGCCGAATTTCGAACGGTAGCAATAAATCAAAAATCGGCCGTGGTTTCGCCAATTCTTTACCTATTTTAAAACAATTCACATTTTTAGAAACCCTGGATCTTTTCCGAGACAATGGCTATCTCACATTTTTCAATTTCGAACATTCATCTATGGCATTTGTCGTTCGAAATTTAAAAATACGTTGTTTAAGAGACAATTTTTGTAATTTTTTCAAAATTTTCAAATTTGACCTACATTTTGGGGTACTTGAAGGCAATCCGATTCCAGTAATATAACTTTCATTCAGAGTTATCACCCTTTATTTTTCGATTTTTTTTTCGAATTTTCTGCCCAATTTATGAGCCCGAGTTTCGTTTTACGGCGGAATCGACGTTTCTGAAACTTCTGGAACATGAAGTTATAGTCCAAATCCAACTGATAAAGCTATTTCGACAATGATCCTTATACCGGAAGAGGTCGAAAAATTGTCCGATATTTTGAAGAAAACGCAAAAAATGGGTGCTTTTAGGAAAAACGTGATTTCTCCACCCGATATCAACGCATTAAAAAATTAAGGTATCGGTGGGTAGCCCGGCGATTTGACTATCATATGATACCAATTTCACACGAATCCTATGAGAGGGCAGTAAAATATGACATTCTGAAAATCAAGTATTTTCCGATTTGGAGCGTTTTTGGACGCCTATATCTCGAAAACTACTCCAAGGATTTTTCTTAAACTTTCCCTATCGAGAGTCCCCCCCCCCGGTTGTCGTGTGCATGAATCCATCCAATAAGACTTTGAAGTGTCTGGAATAGGTAAAATAACGGACTGAAAATCGAAAAAAGTTGAAAAATCGTCAAATTTTAGAAAATGCTCTATTATTTCTTCATTTTAACAGATTTTCAAAAAAAAAACGTTATACATTCAGATAGCTGTCTTAATTACGATTCTAACCATGTATAATATGTATTGAGTTATTGAAATTTGGGGGGTTGGATGGCTGAATAGTTAGCGTGCGCGCGCTGTATCATAAAGTCTGTCATTGAGTCGACTGGCGTGGTTTCGAATCCCCGGTTGTACGTGACAAGGAGTAAGGTCGCCTGTCCAACCTTGTGGGTTTTCTCCGGGTCCTCCGGTTTCCTCCCACTGCTAAAGACCCCTACGCGCAAGTGAATTATTGAAATAAAATTAAACCATGTGTTAGTCCCGAAATGACCTAGTTTGTGTCGAGTGGACGTTAAAACCCATTTCTCTCTCTCTCTATTGAAATTTAATTTTCGATATTTTGACATTTTTATATTTTTGACACTTTTGAACATAGGATTTCCCAGGGGCATTTTATCTGACCAGACAATGTAATATTTCATTACATAGCCCTGTGGCTATTTGATAAGCCAATCCGGTTATTAAAACTATCCCGACAATAATCTCCATACCGGAAGGATTCAAAAAATGAAGAAAAAAGGTTAAAAAAAATAGCGCTCTTGCGAAAAACTTGATTTCTCCATCAGATGTTAGCGGATCAAAAGAACTAAAGTATCGCTGGATAGCCCAATTAATGGACTCTCTGAATGATACGATTTAGATGGCTAGAGAATAAATTATGGTACGCCAAAAATCTAGTATTTTCCGTTTTGGAGCATTTTGACTACCAATTATTTGCTAATTATTGTTAAATATCTTCTAAATTCCTTTGTTTTAAAAACTGTCCAACAGATCAAGTTAAGTTCCCATACCACTTGTTAAATTTATTCCGACAATGATCCGTAAACCGGAAGTAGTCGAAAAAATATTCGATATTTTGAGAAAATATAGTAAAAAATCGCGATTTCTCAGCCGGGTGTCACTGAATCAAATAGGATTTCCCAGGGGCATTTTATCTGATCGGCGGACTATGGCGTGGGTCCAAAAATAAAAGCATTGAAATAATAAAAGTGGTCGAAAAAGAGCCTCAATCTTGGAAAAAAGTTGAAAAATCCTTAAATTACTGAAAATGCTCTTCTATTTTTCTTTGTTTTGAAAACAGGTCAATGGATGTTTCTGAAACTTTAGGTACATAAAGTTGAATATCCAAACAATTTGTTAAAACTATTCGGACAATGATGTAAAAACCGGAAGTAGTCAACAAAATATCTTAAAAAGTAAAAAATGGTGATCTTGCGAAAAAAGTGATTACTACGCCATATTTCACCGAATCAAAACAACTAAAGTGTCATTGGATAGCCCGAACAATGGACGATCTTATGACATCTCAGTGGTAAAAATTCGCTGGTTAGGCAATATATTATGAGATGCTGAAAATCTAGTATTTTTCTTTTTGGAACCTATTCGGACGCTTTTATCTCGAAAACTATTCTCATTTCCTTTCTTAAACTTCTGTTACTTAGAGTCCTAACGGTGGTCTAGGGTGTGAATCCAAATATAAAAGCCTCAATATTGTATAAATGGTCCAAAAAGGGTCAAAATCTATGAAAAAAGTCGAAAAATCGTTATATTTGTGTAAATCTAATGTACGTCTAATGGTATAAGGGAGGTAACACATTGGAATCAGACTACCAACTATTTGCTAATTATCGTTAAATATTTTCTAAATTCCTTTGTTTTAAAAAACTGTCCAACTGATCAAGTTAAGTTCCCATACCACTTGTTAAATTTATTCCGACAATGGTCCGTAAACCGGAAGTAGTCGAAAAAATATTCGATATTTTGAGAAAATATAGTAAAAAATCGCGATTTCTCAGCCGGGTGTCACTGAATCAAATAGGATTTCCCAGGGGCATTTTATCTGATCAGACAATGTAATATTTCATTACATAGCCCTGTGGCTATTTGATAAGCCAATCCGGTTATTAAAACTATCCCGACAGTAATCTCCATACCGGAAGTATTCAAAAAATGAAGAAAAAAGGTTAAAAAAAATAGCTCTCTTGCGAAAAACTTGATTTCTCCATCAGATTTTAGCGGATCAAAAGAACTAAAGTATCGCTGGATAGCCCCATTAATGGACTATCATATGACATCTGAATGATACGATTTAGATGGCTAGAAAATAAATTATGGTACGCCGAAAATCTAGTATTTTCCGTTTTGAAGCATTTTGAGACGCCATTTTATCGAAAACGAAAACTACGATTTTTCTTAAACTTTTTTTTACTCAGAGTCCTATCGGTGGACTATAGCGTGAGTCCAAAAATAAAAGCATTGAAATAATATAAGTGGTCGAAAAAGAGCCTCAATCTTGGAAAAAAGTTGAAAAATCCTTAAATTACTGAAAATGCTCTTCTATTTTTCTTTGTTGGGAAAACAGCTGAATGGATTTTTCTGAAACTTCTTGTACAGAAGGTTAGGTAACCAAACAACTTGTTAAAACTATCCCGACAATGATCCAAAAACCGGAAGTAGTCAAAAAAATATCCGATATTTTGAGAAAAAAACCCATAAAAAGTAAAAAAAATGGCGATCTTGCGAAAAAAGTGATTACTACGCCAGATTTCACCGAATCAAAACAACTAAAGTGTCATTGGATAGCCCGAACAATGGACGATCGTATGACATCTAAATGGTAAAAATTCTCTGGTTAGGCAATATATATAGATAATTATTCAGGAGTGCCTTTTCTTTCACATTGACGATATTTGATCTAAAATTATTGCAACTATGAGTGTTTACTTCTATCCAAAATATGGGTTTATTGACCCTATAACAGAAATAGTTGATTTCTGTGTGTAATAATTAGTCTTTGAATTAATATGGTTGCGTCTTTGTCAAAATTATCTCATAACCTTAATCATCTAGACCGAATCGACAGCTCAGTGTACACATTGGTGTGACCGTAAAAGATCCTTTGGCAGTTGGAATTCTATATAAGAGTAGACTAGCGCCGCTGTATGGGCAAAACTTTCCTCATGGCCCACTCCGAGCAGAACAGTTAGACCTTAAACCCCATTTCATTTCATTTCTAATTACACCTTGAGTTTCAACCTAAACTCTAATTACGACTACACTGAAAAAAAACTTGTGTTGAAACAACACAAAACTTGTGTTAAATGTTGACACAACACAAAACTTGTGTTAAAATTTATCAAACAACACAAACTTGTGTTGAAACTTGTGTGAAATTCTACACATTACTTGTGTTGAAATTTATGAAACTTGTGTTGAAATTTATGAAACTTGTGTGATTTTATACAAACTTGTGTATAACCATTAACAAAAACTTTTGTTGCATTTTCCCCCAATTTATATCCAGTACAGCAACCTTTCCCATGCAGAACCTCTTCTTTTGTTCTGTTTAACCTGTAAGGTTTAATAAATGACGGAACAATAAATTTGTTTGTTAAATTATTATTTATTTAAAAATGATAGGAAAAAGTAAATTAATACTGTCAAATCAAAACTATATAGACATTTGGAATGTTAACAGAAAATTAATTCCAGTACTAATGAAATTGTGTTATATAATGACATATAATTATGCATCAAATTGAAATACTTTCAAAAACTGAAAAGTGCATCAAAGTCATTTTACATGTGATTTGTGAGGCATCTAGAAATAAGTAGCATACACAGAACTAACAAAAGAAAAATGCACTATTGCAGGAGTTATAAAATTATGTAGAACCCTTTCCTCATTAAAAAAAAACAAACAAAATGAATCATTTGTACATAAAAGGAGCGCCCATTGAATAATGAAAGCACCAAGATTACAGGTTATTGTAAAATAAACGAAATAAAAATATCAGAGAAAATGGCAAATATTAAATAATATGTACAAAATATTTATATAAGTCAGAAGCAAGGGGGAGCTACATTGGTTCAGTGAGTATAAGGTGTTGGCCCAGAAATTTCATCTGGATTTACCGGCATAGTTCCCCCATGTCAGTGGTGTAGGACATGGCAAGGGATGATATAGTTGTTCGCATAGGACAATAAACCTAGGTCTCATAAACACCTTGGTGTGTATTTTAAAGCAAGAGAGAAATGGGGTTTAGTCTCCACTCGACATAAACTGGGTCCATTAGGGACTAACATAAGGTTCAATATTATTTCAATAATTCATTTGAGCATAGGTTTGACCTGCGAGGTTTGACAGGTGCGCCTACTCCTTGTCATGTACAAGCGGGGAATCGAAACCACCCCCAATGTGTTGACTTTAAAGAAACCTTGACAATTTAAATATTTTACTCAATGCCAGATCTGATCCAATGTGCGCGTGTTCCTGTGTTCATTTTAAAGAAACCTTTGAAATATTTGATAAAAGAGTAGGTTGTAGGGCAGAATTACCATAATAACACAGACCGGTAGGATATTAAACCCTATTTCATTTGATAAGCAAGAGAAAGTCACCTTAATGTAGGTCATGGGATTTTTGTAATTCTGCATATATTTGGTTTCTACTTTAGGATTTCCGACCAAATTCTAAGTGATTTATATGTCACTTTACTTTCTATATTATACATAAATTTCCTGAGAGAATTAAATTCTAATTGTGTTTGGGGAGGATATTTAACATTAAAAACAAATTAAAAAATATTTAAAAATTAGGTCAAATGCATTCTTTTCCAGAACTATAAAATAAATTAATGGTTTAATATTCAAAAGGTATGGTTGGGTTCTCTTGTTCTTATCATACATCAAATACTCTTGCAAGGGTGTTCCAGCCTAAAAAATAAAAAAAGTAGACAATAAGAACACTTTCTATGGTTCACAATGTTTAAATAAACAATTTATTTTGCTACATCGACACAAACTAGGTCATTTCAGGACTAACATATTTTCCAATTAAATTTCAATAATTCGCTTGCGCATAGGGGTCTTTAGCAGTGGGAGGAAACTCGAGGACCCGGAGAAAACCCACGAGATTCGACAGGCGACCCTACTCCTCATCACGTACAACCGTGGGATCGAAACCACGCCAGTTGACTCAGTGACAGACCGTATGATACAGTACCCACATGCTAACCATTCGGACATCCAACCCCCATTGCCACATCGAGATTGAGTCTCTATTTTGTTTGAACTTTTGATAACACTTATTGTGTCTTGTCCAGTTAAAGACCCAGGCAGATAATTATGCTCAAATCAAATGGGTCAGAAGTCAGAAAAAAAAGTCATGAGATTTGGGACTAGAGTCTAATAATAGGTCAACTATTTACTGTAAAAATAGACATATCACAACTTGAAGAAAATCAATGAAAGTGATTGTCAAAAAACAAGCATGCCAAGTACTTGAAATAGCAGAGCCCTGGGCATTGCCCCAAGAAGAATAACTAGATTACCAAGTGTATAGTACTAGTTACTAATTAAAAAAACAAATATGTATGGTACTTACATTTTGCCTGATTATCAAGCTCTGTGAGAAAAAGTTTCCATGATATAAATAGCCCTTTCCAACTGTCTTGATCTTTCTGATGTAGTAAAACTGAGAAAAAAAAAACATACTATGTATTAGTTGACTAAAATTGACCAGACAGTTAAAAAATGGAAGTTTTAATGTGCTGGTTTGCTTTGTCACAGATGAGACGAAATGAAAAAATGAAATGGGGTGTAACGTCCTACTGTTCTGCTCCAACTGGGTTAATGAAGATGGGCATATGCCATACAGTGTGCTGTGAGGGAATTTCTGTCGGGTACCGCGACCCTAAGGCCTACTCTTATATCGATTTCTGACAGAAGATCTTTTACATGCACGCCAATGTGTACACAGGACGTCATTTTTTTGTTCAATCCGAATGACTAGACAGCTGTCCTTGTCAGTCCCCCCGTCCTGAATTTTCTTAGCCAAAAACAGGAGCAAACCCGCGATCTTAAAATATGCAAGCCAGCGTCTTACCCACCCCGGCCACCGTGGCTCCCCACAGATGAGACAGTCATATTTACATTAGAGATACCTTACCATATATACAGTGTGTGATATGATATTGAAACTAAAATATCTATCTAAACGGAATTATAGATTCCAAAATAATGAAATGAAATGGAGTTTTATGTCTCATCCGCTCCAGCCCAGCTATATTGTGCCAAACATTATGGTGAAATTCCAAAATACCATAAAAACAATCTTTTCTATTAGAATTGAACACTCACCCTTCAAAAACAGCTATCAGAAATCATAGATGCAGTAATCATCCTTTCTTCAGCTCTTTCTTTTCCCATTGTTTTTTTGACTGCTATTAGTGCTATGGCATCTAATATTGAAAATGAAAAAAATAAATACATGACATGTAATTACCCGTTAAAGATACCTTACCATATACAAACTGTGATATGAAATGAAATGAAATGGGGGTTTAACGTCCTACTGTTCGGCTCCTATACTGGGCTAATGAAGACGGGCATACGCCATACAGTGTGCTATGAGGGAAATTTTGCCCGGGCAGCGGCACTATCGCCTACTCTTATATCGAATTCCAACTGCCAAGGGATATTTTACGTGCATTTCAATGCATACACTGGACCTGGTTTTTTGTCTCATTCGAAGGACTAGACAGCTGCCCTTGTCAGGCCCTCTGTCCTGCATCACTGACAAGGGGAAACCATGTTGGAAAATCGGGATGAACTTTCTCGGCCAATGCAGGGATCGATCACCCGACCGCCAGGCTAACGAGTCAGCATCTTACCCACTTAACCATGTGATCCCCCTGTGTGATATGAAACTGAAACTAAAATATCCACCCAAAAATTTGTTTTAATAACCCCTACTGGTCATGTGACTGGACTTTCACAGTAATTAGAAGAGAGCCATGTGGCTGAGTGAGTGAGGCGCTGGCTTGCTAGCCTGGAGGTTGCGTGTTTGCTCCCAATGTTGACCGAGAAAACTCATTTGGATTTTTCAGCGTGGTTTCCACCTGTCAGAGGTGCAGGACGGAAGGCCTGTCTAGTCGTTCGATGGAACATAAAACCGGGGTCCTATGTACACATTGGCATGCACGTAATCGATCCCATGGTACATGTAGTTGGAATTTGTAGGCTGTAGCACCCATGTCACCGTTTGACTGCCAGTTTGTGATACCCTCACATTTTTGTTCTGTGCATTTCCCTTGTTGGTTTTTAGGGAATCCGTTTTTTTTTTCTAGTAAAGCGGTGGACACACTAACCAAATGATTCACCCGACGAATCATTTGCCTGAATCAATTGGCGCAATTGAGATTCATCGGAATGACATTCGGCCGAATGACTGGACACTCTAGACAAATCCTTCACCCGATTCACCACTCGATTGCATCACCTTTCACGTCACATGATTTAACATGGCCACGAACATGTCTTCAAAGTTCAAACAATCGTGTAACTTCGCGATATGAGTGGTGATTGACGAATATATCAAACATGTTTGGTTCTGGCGAATCATTTGGCGGAATGTCAGCAGTGGACACACTCGACGAATTTCAGTGCCGATTGATTCAGCCGAATCCTTCGGCTAGTTAGTCCGGATTTAAGTCTGTACGTTCTTTATGCAAATATCATATTTGAAATAGGCCATACTTTTATTTGATTCCATGCTTGAATGTGACTAGGAATAGGGTTTTCTCCGGGTCCTTCAGTTTCCTCCCTTTGCTAAATACCCCAAGCAAATCATTCAAATAAAATTGAACCATATTATAGTCTCAAAATTACCTAACGCCAGTAAGTATAAAGGATCTATCCAACAAACACCAACTCTAGGTTTATGCAGAATTAATATAACACAACATACAAATATGGTAATAGAATAAGACTGCTCAGGAAAAGGGCGGAAACGGAAGTACCCGTCGGACTTGATTCTAGGACATATATATTGCATAGGCCTACTTGATTCCACGAATTTAATACAAGTACTGTACCAGTACATGTATGTCATAGTTTGTGTCAAGTGAAATTTTAAACCCCATTTCTTCTCTCTCTCCCTCTCTCTACTGGATATAACTATGTGATAAATACTTCTTTATCCTGGCACTGAATCTTTACATGCATCATATACTGTAAGAATTAAAATATTGGGCATTATTAAAAAAAAATATATAAAAAGAAAATTAAATTTTTACCAGTTTGTCTTTGTGCAGTACATGCTAACATCAATGACTGAAAAAAAAAATAACGAAACTATAGAGAAACTTAAGACAATATTAAAGGTTGATTTGTTTGTTGTTTTTTCTTTTACAGAAATCAGATTACATTTCAACTAAAAAAACTAACACAAAAATTATATCTTCATTAGCCCAGCATAGCAGCAGAACAGTAGGACGTTAAACCCCATTTCATTTCATTTCATTTCATTTTTCGAGAAAGTCTATGAAAATCAAAGATGGCGGCCAAGTATGAAATCAAGACAGATTCTTACCTGCTGGTCCTTATCGGGGTGTTTCTTGAAATTATAAGTATTTGAACAACGGTGTAGAGCCGAATAACTAATAATAATTAAGCACGATTTCAGAAAAAAGAAGACAGATTCATTAGATTGCTGAATTACCGGACCGCTTTTAAAAACGCATCGAAAAATTGTCCATGTCCGCCATGTTTGCACTTCTGGTGAAAGTTCTGAATCTGACTTGTTTTAAACGAAACGAATTATTAATATACATAGAATCAATATATTGATGCTAAATTAAATAGGCCTGCTCGTTTTTATTTCGTAAAAATTTACAAACCTGCAGTCTTGTATTCTCTGTGACCATTATATTTCTCAAAGCCCTCTGTTGATGCTAACTTCACTAAGCCTACTTGGCTAAATGCACACTGCTGAGTCAATTTTTAAAAACACCAGGGTGCCTTAATTGTGTGTGTGTGAGAGTTAGTTGTATTTTACGCCCGCTTCCACCGAGGTGATATCGCAGACAAGGTGCCTATATGTGTGAAAAAGCTTTATTTAACGTCCGCTTCCACCGAAGCGATATCGCAGACAAGGGTGCCTAAATTCACATGTAGGCCTACACTATATGACCTATTCCTTTGATCTATGGTTTATTGGACCAAAACAGCCAGACATTTTAACTATACAGACAACTTAACACCAATTAACACCCAAGTCTGTATGGCAATTGTCTGAGTAAAAAAACGTGAAAATAAACAGTTTGGTCTACCGTGATTTACAGGACATGCATATGGTTTCAAGGCTTTTACTGTTTTACATATTTTAAATGATCACGAATTCTCGCGTGTGTCATTTTAATGAATCAGTTGATTAATTAGTACTCACACCCATCCAGTTAAGAACAGCATATAATTTTCGGGATTCGAGTTAAGCCCTTTAGGCCTATTACTTTTCTTAAACTTGGGGACTCCCGAATTCAGACTTTGTATGCATTTTTTTTTAAAAAGAAAACAAATTGTTGACGGTACACATTATTATTGTGTTAATTATATGAAAAACCCCACAAGATTTTATAAATCTACACAAGTACTTGTGTTAATACAATGCAAAACCACACAAACTTGTGTAGATTAGTTTTAACACAAGCACTTGTGTTGAGATCCAACACGGGGGGTTGGATGGCTGAATGGTTAGCGTGCGCGCGCTGTATCATAAAGTCTGTCATTGAGTCGACTGGCGTGGTTTAGAATCCCCGGTTGTACGTGGCAAGGAGTAGGGTCACCTGTCCAACCTCGTGGGTTTTCTCCGGGTCCTCCGGTTTCCTCCCACTGCTAAAGACCCCTACGCGCAAGCGAATTATGTAAATAAAATTAAACCATATGTTAGTCCCGAAATGACCTAGTTTGTGTCGAGTGGACGTTAGACCCCCATTTCTCTCTCTCTCTCTCTGAGATCCAACACAAGTTTTTTTTCAGTGTACAATTTTTACTTTGATATTAATATCTATTGCGATTCCAGTTTTTTACCAAACTTCGGTGTGGACCACGACATTGCTTTTCGTACGATTCGCGAAACTGTTCTTTTTCCATTTCGCGTAGATCTCAGAAACTGTAAGAAGTGATAGAGTTCTGAATACTGATGTTTTCCCATGTAAGTTGTTAACAGTTAACAGTACTGCGAAAGTTGTGAGCAGCTCGGAAATGATGTAAATCTTTAACGTGTACGAACACTCTGTAGATACTTTAATCGGTATTCTTGTGTATGAAATCTTTGAACAACAGTCAGAAATATCAGTGTAGGAGAAAAGGGGATCGAAAATTGAAAACTGTGTATTTGTTTGTTAAGCGAAACGTGCCGTGGGATTGGATAAAATCGGCACGTATTATCAACGTATAAAGCATATTTATATATATAGAGCTTTTTTTTACAGTGACAATAGTGTTTTACTATTAACCAAAATAAGGGGTTGGTGATTCTAGAGTGAAAATATGTCATTTTACTAAGTAATAGTTTCCCCTGAAATTAATGTCACAGATCTTTTCCTCTACATGACGTCATCACTTTACACCAATGAATAAAAAGCGCCCCGCTGCAGCCATTCATAACCGAAATACATTGAAAAGAAAAACTAGTATTGAGTGCTAAAGGCAATGGGAAATTAATACTTCTTTTCGCCCCTTTCGCAACGCTATTCTTTCTTTTCCCATTCCCAGTTTCCCAGAAACTGTAAGCAGCGATAAATCTTTCCTCAAGAAAGTTGCCAACAGCTAGCATAAAATTTATGAGTTGGACGTTAAACCCAATTTTATTTCATTTCTAATTACACTTTGAGTTTCAACCTAAACTCTAATTACCACTACAATTTTGACTTTGATTTTGAAACTAATATCTATTCTGATTCCAGTTTCGACCATAACTTCGGTGTCTCTTTTGAATACGACATCGATTTCTAATGTCAACTCTAATTACACCTTGGGCTACTACTTCGATTTCGATGTAAACTCTCATTACGCATAAAAGTGGTATCCATTTGGATTCCAGTTTCGGGCATGACTTCGATGTGACAACATCTTTGCTTTTCAGCGATGTCGACCACGACTTAAGATTTTCGGCGTAAACTCTAATTACGTCTTCGGTGTGGTGAAAGCATAGACATACTAATGTGCTACTAGCTAATAGCCTATGTACCAGAATTGGACTCCGAAACCTGTAAATATCAACGACAAGTAAATGAATGAAAACAATGTGTTTCGAAAATGTTCCGCCATCTTGGAAATATGCTAAATTGGTGAACATACGAACATTTTACACAGTTGTAGATGACAGAAATCGAATCCGCCTCCCCGAAAACATATATATTGACACCAAAGACAACTACTTAATCGCAATCAGCCCAGTGGGATAGCGGCTCTTCAGGCATTCAATTAACAATAGTGTATATATGGCGTCACAACGTCATAGTTACATTATAAATTATACAGGCAAGGGAAGTTACTCTGTAGCCTACAGACTACAAATATTCAATCCCACCACGGTTTTTATTTTACTTAATTATTCCGTTATTTAGAATTAAGTTTCGGGTGGTATTTTTTCAATAAAATAGCTTTCTTTTGCCTCCAAGAGGTCGTTGTTTTTTCTATTAAGTCTATATAAAGGAAAAACACTAAAGTTACACCCCACCACATACTTCAAGATGCTCACTGAGCGGGATCATCCTGTATTTTGGTTGAAGTATGTGCTGTCGATACATCCCATACAACCTAGCAAGACGAATTTGTACAATTGTGTCAAATCAAGATGTCAAAGAGCATTGAGTCTGGATCAAAGCGTGTTAAGACAACCTAAAGTTCCTGCAGACTTTGATAAAAGGAACGTTGCTTTAGTCACTACACTCAATCCGTCTTAGGAAAATGGGAAATCTATCATTGAAAATTACACTCATATCCTTAAAAATAGCCAAACGATTGATATAATATTGAGAAAAACAAATATACTCTTCAAAAAAAAAGAAGAAAAGAAACGCACAGCCCATTTTTCATCATTTTTTATTTGAACGGGATCGTTGTTTCCATAAATCTTTCTTGTTTTTAATGTCATTATGTAAGGATAAAAGAAATTCATTATTAGATTTAAATGTAGGGTCACTATTTGTGACTGGTCATACTTTTTGCCGAAATTTGTTTTCGCGTAATTGCACCAAAAAACATGAGTTTAACGACTTCACGAGCTTTTCGCATGGAAACTAAATCTAAGGCCTTTAAAATCCCAGGGTTCTCGGTTTCAAAATCAGTTGCACATGCAAACACTCAACGAACCAAGTGATGCCACATCTGAACGAAGACCAACGCAACAACGGTATTGGTCGGTTACAAGCAGGTGAATCCCAGACGGATGTTGCCAGGCTGCTGAATGTTTCCCTGAGTACCATTTCTCGCCTTTGGGATTGGTAACCGCCCAAGCTCAGGCCAAACAAGAGTGACCCCACCTGCCCTGGAGCGTCACATCCGGTTACGTCATTTGCGGAAACGGTTCTCAACAGCGACCTCTACTGCAGTAGCAATTCCTGGACGGGCGTAAAATCTCAGACCAGACAGTCCGTAAACGCCTACGTGAAACCGGATTACGAGCTGCTGTTTTGAAATATGCCGACACCGTGAAATCCGACTTCAATGGGTTCAGACACAGAGGGTATGGCCACAGCAACGCTAGAGAACAGTTTCTTTCAGCGACGTGTCGCGATACCTGTTGCAACGAGGCGATGGAAGAGCGATGGTATACCGACGACGAAAAGTCACATTGAATTTCTTTTTTGGAACAGTATATAATCAACAATCTAAAGCAACCTTCCAATCTAGCTAGGATTATAACATCTTCTAAATATGATTCAGTCGCCTCAGTACCAGTAGTTTCGAAATGTGGTAATATAAAGTGTAAAACCTGTGACATTATCACTGTGGGATCATCCATAAAAATCAATGATGATAATCCATTTTATGTCAAACAGGCAATGAATTTGTCAATCGAACTATGTAATTTATCTTATAACGTGTCCGCATTGCAAGGGAACGTTTTGGGCGTGTTTTCATTTTCCATAAGGGGAGCCAAACTTTGGAATGAACTACCCAGAGAGTGTACCTAACTATCTCAGTTTAAATGTAAACTGAAGACTCATCTGTTTAGAGAATCACATAAATAGAATCATACGTGTACCATTGTGAAAATATGATTGTACAGCTCTTAGAAATAACTTGTTATAATGTGGCGCTTTAAAAATGAAATTATGATAATATTGTAACAGTGCATATGGACAAAATATGCACAATATTTTATTTTTAGAAGATATAAATAAGCTAGCTCAAAGTTACCATTTATCTTCACTTAATAAATTACTTAGAAACTTCAATATTGGATCTCGTCTTATATTCAGGTAAGCGCTCTATGTATAATTTAAATGTTAAACTTTATATATATATATATATTTATCTTAACTTAAGATTTAGAATTATATCCTAATATATCGGATAAATACGATTAGTAGAATCGAGTATTACTTTAATAGATATTTCAAAATTTACGTAAGCATAAATGAATAAATGGAAAAGTACGTTTATCGACGAAATACTTGTTTATTTAAATATGTTTCAAATGTAGATATTTAGTGTCTAAAAATAATTAAAAATGGTTCGCTCTAAAATAAACGGAAACGTAAGAATTTATATGATTCATTACT